AGGAATCCTGAGTGACAGGTGAGTGAACTGACTTGGATACAGGATTGTAGCTCTTGAAGACTATTTTTTGGCAGCCAGAGCGGTAACACACACTATCTCTCTCATTATCTAAACAGTGGAGCAATGTAGCCTAGATGAGATCTGCAGTTACGGACCCAGCATCTACGACTGTAACTGTAGCTCTATTGCTACCTTCCAGCACAGAGTCATTAATGTCCTCTTAATTTCCCACTAAAAAACCCAAACTGGAATCACAGAGCTCTACAATGGTTGGCAGTGCTTGCACATTCTATGACTGCACCGTTTCAGTTTTTCAGAAGACAGTTCCAGCTCGCCTATTTGTTCCTCAATGCTTTAGGCCTCAAAGTTACCTCTAATTCCAATTTTAGATGAAAAGGATCCCCATTAAACAGTGTAAAACAAAATGAATGTACATTGTGTTACCTCAATTAGCCATTATTAACTGTATTGTATTTTATCATCTGACCGAGACAGATGCTATATTTAAGAAAACTCAAGATAAAAACAATATTGCCGTGAGTTCTGCTGCCAAGACTGCTTGTAAGAGGAAAACAGCTTACCAAGAGAGAAAAGAGTTTCTACACAACCCAGAGGTTGTATTAATGGGTTACTTGCTTCACTGGCAGTGAAGAGACCAACCTGGGACCTCAGACATCACTTATCATTATGACCTCTTGTGAATTATTATTATGACCTATGTGCCTCTTGAGTGCACATTCATTTGGAGGCACTTCTCTGATGGGCATCTAAGATAAACCTCAATACTTGCAAAGGGTCTGGGGAACACGAGAGAAGCTCTGTGATGACAGACTCCATCAAGCCTCAGAGCTGGCTCCCCCACCTCCTCCTGGCCAGCACCACAAGGATGTGGAAACCAGAGTGGAGTGATGTGAAACAACCACAAGTTGCATGCCCCTTCCCTTGCCCTGGCACAACTCTGGGCAAGCCACTACTGGGCAGCACTGCCTGGCCACCCCAATGCCTTCAGGTATTAAGTCCTGTTGGAGCAACAGCTATTTGCTATGTGTATTGTTTCCTTTTTTGCAGAATGGCAATTTTAAGTGTGACAACTGTAAAATCATCTCCCTTGGAGAAGAGTCTCCAAATTGTCTGTGAGTACTCCAAAGCAGATCTAAAAGAAACAAAACACACTGTGCCAGAACTGACCGGACATTAGCGAGGTCCTGCTAAACTCAGCAACACTCAAACACAGTGTGCAGCCAACATAGTAGCAAAGGATACTCATTATACAGAAGACAGGTATCATTAATTCCTGTTGAGATCCCATTCCCTAAGGGAACCTCTACACCACCAAGGGTGGTAGTGGCTGTGGGATCAGGTGCAGTTTTGCCCAAGCCTAGAAAGGGAAAAACATTAGTTACAAATCTAGAAGGCAAACACAGACTTTGCACATAAAGAAAATGACTCAGCCAGCCAAATACTAATTCACATATATTTTCAAATTCTGACCCAAGCGCAAAAGAATCTTAAAAGGAACACAAAGGATATATTCTGTTTATTCAATTCAGCATCACCAGATTAATGGTAGTTGTCCTCTGCTACATTAAAAGTCAGAATTTTAGACTTTTGGCTACGAATTTTCTAATCTGTATGATCAAAGCTAAAACAGACCAGACTTACAGCTCTCATATCCTAGGTCCGTTAATGAAAACATGCACATTGCAACAAGCGTAACAAACCAATTCTTATTCTCTTTAAACTCTTCAATACAGATCTCATTTGACATCCATAATAGTGTGAGTAGTATGTATTGAAAAAGGTGCTATGTGACATTTTATTCTATTTTAGGCAACCGATTTCTTAAGCCTCTCAAAATGAATAGCTTAAGAAAAGCCACTCATTACTGAATACTACTGTTCTCTGCTCAAGCATCTCAGTACAGAAGATAGCCATGATTACCATTTCTTTTGCTTGAATTAGAGAGCCAAGTCTTTTCTCTCATCTTCTTTTTCAGTGTAATATACTGATACTTTTTGCAGACAGAAATGCAATGAGAACAGCTGTTCCAGCTGAACTTTTATTCAGCTTTTCCCTTCTCTCCAAGCTTCTAAAGCACTTTGAAAACTAAGCAATTATTCTTCTGATCTATCAAACCTCTCATCTTTCTTCTAAAATACATAGTATTGCTATGATGAAAGCCAGTAAGAAGTTGGAGAACGCACCTTACATTTTCCCTTGTGTAATATCAGATGAAAGTTTCCCCCTGAACTTCAGGCAACACATTAACTTCAGTCTTAAGCTTCCAAGTGTTCCAACTAACTCCCGTCTCAAAACACCTCATACACATATACAGATGCAATATGGGCAACATTACACAAACTCCTAAAGGAAGCACAGCTATGAAATTACTGTAGTTCTCTTTGCTAAGGAGAGCACCACAGGGTGAGTTTGCCATCAATAACAGATTACCAATGACAATTACTAATGCTTACCTTTCACACTGTGTTTTCCCTTGGGCAATTTTGTTATGTGAGAAGCATTCTTTAGCTCATACCTGGACAGCACAAAGAACACACAATAGCATTTTACATTCATCTTAAAATATTTTGGGCTTCACTTTATGGTGAGTTAGCATAAAGTTAATTTAGATTCTACTCCTCTAGAACTCAGCCTTCCTTCTTTGTCTCAGTTACTAACTTCAATGATACTGGCATTTAGAACAAGATTCTATAACTGCAACACTGATTTTTTTGCCCCACCAAATAGCTCTCATTTTAAGAAAATAAAGAGATTTTGTATCTAAATAAATACAAAGTACTCTTTCTTCACACCAAAGAAGAGGCTTGCAAAATTTTAGCATCACCTTCCACCACAATACATTAAGCACATTTGACAAATACTCTTTGTAAATTACTTACATATTTCCAAGGGCAACTTCTCCCAGTAGTATTAAGCCTATGGGATCAGCTTGAGATGTGTGACAGTAGTTGGCACTCTTGGATACCATGTCTGCAAAATAGATGCCCTTCCCGAACATGTAGCCAGTCTGCAAGCAACAAAAGAAGGAAAAAAAAAAAAAACTGGGACAATAATACAAAGGCAGCATTCAGTCCACCTGGCTGGGCTCCCAGGAGAGCAAAGGTGCAACTCAAGCTCTTGTGGACGTCAGTCAGCAACCGACTCTGGACACAAATGTTGTCTGCATGCTGAGAGATAACACTGAGCCCTCCCCACACAGAAATTCTCCTGTTTCAGTTGTCTCTGACGGTACAGGGATGGAGGCAGTCAGAGCAGCTGTCTGTTTAACGTACCACGGGAGCTTCAGGGGGAGCTATCCGGAGACCCTGTGAGAGGATACCAGCGAAGTTGGTGGTGCGGGAACCATGCCAGAGCAGCTGGCGATTATGAAGCTGCTTAAATGGCTTGTAACGCTGACTCTCTCCTTCACGTTCAATCCTGAAGATCTTAAATTCAAAAAGGGGTAGGAGAAAAAGAACAAGCAAGTAAATAAACTGTTACCTTCATGTGACTAATTGAATGAAAAAGAAAAAAAAAAAAAAAAAATCATTCAGCCTGGAATATACACTAATCTGCTAGGAAAACTGACCTGGATGGTTTTTAGTACCTGCAGTTTGCTATGTCATGCTAGCAAAACGAGAAGTAGGATTGATCACCCAGTACTTGTTATTGATTACTTCTCCACCTTCCCTTCTGCTTTTTCATAAACCCATAGTTTTCTGAAAAATCATTCAATGAACTAAAGCTCAATTTTAGATGATTACTCCTCCACCTCCTTTTTGAGGCCAATTAAATTAAAATTAAAACGCCTCCCCAAAGACACCTCATAAGCTTAGACTCTTCTTTGCCTAGACTTGCTATTCTATTAAAAAGCAGTTTGTCTATCAAACCATCCCTTCAACAAATGAAACTAGATAAGCTACTCAAAAGGAAACTGCGAACAACTAAGTCAACTTAGAAGAGTCCATCTTCACAAACTTAAACTCCAGTATTGCCCAGCTTACATCCACGACTTTGAGATCATACGCGTTGTGAGTAGCAGCATGAGTATTTTTCACATATTGTTTAATAATCTTGGCTTCTTCTGAATCTTTGTCAACAACCTGTAGAGAGGCAAACAAGTTTCTTTAGCATACAAACTAGCAGGCTTCTTATAAAATGATGACACCTACCCTATGCTTGCAACTCCCCAGTTTAAGCCTCCTTTATCATTTAGGTGGAAATTTATTCCCAGCTAGAAAAGATGTACAGGAATACAGACAGCACTCAGTCACAGAATGTCTGAGACAGGAAGGCCCCTCTGGAAATTGAGAGGATTTCCAACCCCCCTGCTCAAAGCAGGGTCTGCTGGAGGAAGTTGCCAAGGACTGAGTCCACTCAGGCTTTCAACACCTCCAAGAATGGAGCCTCCACAGCCTCTCTGGGCAACCCTTCCCAGTGTTTTGACCACCCTCACAGTAAACAAACAAACCAACCAACCCCAAACTAAACACTATCAACAACAACAGCTTTTTCTTTTGTTGAAATACAATTTCCTGTATTTCAATTTGTGCCCATTACCTCTTGTGACTGGAAACCACTGAGAAGAGCCTGTCTCTGTCTTCTTTACTCCCTTCCCCCATCAGGTATTTATAGACATTGGTAAGATATCCCCTGGGCCTTCTTTTCTCCCCGTTAAAAAGCCCCAGCTCTCTCAGCATCTCCTCGTACAACATACGCTCCAGTCCCTTAACCATCTCAGTGGCCCGTCACTGAACTCATGCCAGTACAGCTGTCCACCTACAGTTTAGGCAATTTCTTAATACTCCAAACTACCAGGACATCAGCTTGTATTCATGTTCACTCGTTTCCTTTTATTTCCTTCACCTTAATATCAGTTCGAAGTTTCTCATAGTTGATGTCAATTGGGTCTTTATCTCCATCTTCATTTCCACCTCTGAGAAGGCTGTAAGCAACCTCAATATCAAGCAAGTTGTCCAACATCTGCACTTTAGCCTGAAGAATTTAAAGAGGTTATTTTAGTTGTGCCTTTGACATTCCAGAATAACTCTGGAATATCCCAAATTATAAGGTGTACATGAATCACTGGCCACACACTGCCATCTAACAAACACAACACCACTGCCTTTAAAAAAAAAAACAAAACCAAACCACACTACTAAAATATACACACATATATACATATAAATAACCATAATATGTAACATATGCATATTTATAGATGTATACACACATATGCACATAAACAAACAAAAAGATATTTGAAGAAAAACAAGCTTAACCTCATGAAAGCACGAGGTTAAATTAAGTCTTAAAACCTCACAAATTCTCTGTGTTAGATGTCTGATTATCAGACATGCTGCCTGCAAACAACATGCTGTTTCCAGTCAATACCTGGATGTATTCCAAGTTATTTAGGAGAGGTGGTTTCTTCATCCCAAAATCATGAGGGATCAGAGTATAGAAGCGGTTGGAGAGGTCCAAGATCTGGGATTCTGAACCACTGTCAGAAACTGCCTAGACAAGACAACAAGCACCAAAGAAAATTACTGAGTAAGATCAAGTCTCCATAGCAATAGACACACACAAAATAA